AGCACAAGGCTGAGCCCCCCACCTGGGCCCTGCACCAGGGTCTCACCTACCTTTGGGCCCCTCCGTAGGCTGTTTTGAGTAGACCCAGTCTGTCCATAGGGAGGAGGTAGCAGAGCAGGATCATGGTAGGGCCCTCCCTGCTCACTGCTCTTCAAGACCTGGGCTGCTTCAGCCAGATTATTGGTATTTTCCCAGGAACCCAGGGTGGAGCCTTCTGCGTTCAGTGCCCAGAGCCCAAGAGCTTGCAGGGGTCTGCAGGGGGCAAAGGGTGGCATATTTCAGAAGAGGCTGCCCGCTTACTCCTGATCCTGGCCACCTCCCAGGGGATAGATGGCTGAGCAGCAGTTTCCAGACTTTGTGGGTGAGACACCAGCTGTTCTGTCATCTCAGAGGCACCCAGGAGCTCCTGACAGGGGCCCTCGGGCCCTGCACACTGCAATACAGCCTCCCCTCTCAGGACGAGATCAGGGAGCTAGGGTGGGGGGAGCAGGTTGATAGGGCACCCCCAGCTGGTGGAGGGTTCTGGAACAAATCCTGCAGCAGGAAGCACATCACATCTGCTCCTGTCTGGAGTCAAGCCCTGGGTAGCAGGGCCTTTGAAGGGTGTGGGCCTGGCCTGGAGGGTCTGGCTTTCGTAGCAAATGAGACCAGAGGATCAGGGAGAAGTTGGGGTATGGCCCCACTAAACAGGCAAGGAGCTGCCCCCATATTGGGAGGGGGCAGCCAGTCAGGATAGATGGAGGAGATGAGTAAAAGCTGAGGAACAGACTCTACTGATGGAAATAGGAGCCCTTTCATCCTACAGCACAGGGGAGGTTAGACTCGAGGAAGGACTTCATGACAGCAGGTTTGAGTCCTGCTGGATGGGGGCCAGGAAAGTGGGGTTAGGGAGGTACTTATAAAGGGATTTGCAAGAAGGAGCCTCTAGCCAGCTTAGAGGCAAGGCCACTTAGGGAAAGGGGGTAACCTTCTTCTTTGTGTTGGTGACAGGAAGGAGAAGCAGAGATAGAAGTCAGGTGAGAAAAAGCTTCCTCCACATTTCAGGAGTGTGGGTGCTGACAAGTTGCACAGTGCCTGGGCAGCTGCTGCTCCTGTCAGCTCCACTCCCCCCAATGACTCAGAGACTCTAGGCATTGTCCTTATATGTCCTTCCTTCCATTCTTCCATTCATCCATCTACCCATCCACCTATTCATTCATCCAGCCAGCCAGCCATCGCCCATCCATCCATCTATCCATTCGTCTGTCCATCCACATCCAGCCATCCATCCATCTGGCCATCCATCCACCTACCCATCTATCCATCTACCCATCCACTCATTCATTCATCTATTCATCTGTCCATCCATCCATCTACCTACCCACCACTCATTGACCCATCCACCTATCCATTCATTCTCCAGACACTCTCAATCTGTGGAAGTGGAAGACAGAGTAAGCTGGTGAGATCATAATTTTCAATCCCATAAACACTATTGCCAGCAACAGAGATCTCTGTCCAGCACCACTACTGCCACCATCACCATAATCAGTTCCATCACCATCACCACCCCATCATTAGTGTCATCCCATCAGCACTGTCACCACAATCACTGCCAACATCTTCAGTCCCAAACATATCTATAAAATGTTATCACCACATTTTGCCCCCCAGTGTTCCTGCCACTCACAGTGACCACCACCATTCTCAGCTCCATGGTTCTCCTTAGAGCAGAGTGGTGCTGGTGATGGCAGAAGAGAAGGGCTTAGCTTCACCAGGGACAGGTTGCCAAGGAGGGTGACACTTGCACAAGGAGGCCAAGAACAGCCAAGGGAACACAGGCCCAGGAAGATCTCTCTGGTGACCAACTAGTCTGGACTCCATGGAAGAGAAGTGGCTTCTGGTTGGAGAGAATGGCAGATGGAGGTGCCACTACTGCCCTTGGGAAAGCTACCACTGTGTGTGGCCCTGAATCAGAGCCAGGAGAGCAGGGTTTGTTCTCACTGCCTGTGGGACACTGGCAGCATCGCTGGGCCATCCCAGAGCCTGGATGTCCCAGCTCTGCGTAGCTGAATGGAGCAGAGGGAAATCAGCGTGAGTCTGAGGAGATGCACCTGTCCCAGTGCTGAGAGTCTCCAAGGTCCCAACCTCATGCACAAGCCGGCACAGGGCTCACCACAAGAAGGTGACAGGGCAGACCTATGCAGGTCTCAAGGGTTGTGGGACCATTCCTGGCTAGTGTCCTGCTCTGAAAGATATAATAGAACAGACAGTAATTTCTGTGATGAATCATCAGGAGGGACAGTCATGGCCTATGAACAGCTGTGAACACTTGGGCTGAGGTAGCACGTGGAATATAGCTTCCCCCAGGCTAGCCAAGGCCTCCTGGGAGGGAGGGGCAGCAATGGAGGAGAAACCAGACTCTGCCCACAGACTGAGTCATGACCTTGGTGACACAGAATTCTGATCCTTATCTCACACTGAGCCCATGATCCTGGTCACATTGAACTCTGATCCGGGTCCCACATTGAGCTCTGAGCCTAGTTCCACACTGAGCCCTAATCCTGATCTCACACTGAATCCTGATCCTGGTCACATGCTGTGTCCTGGCCCCAGCAGCACACACTGTTTAGTTGTTTGCCTTGAATGCAGTAAATGCGTGGCTTAGGTCCTTCTTGCTGTTTGTTTTATTTTGTTTTGCTGCAGCTTCTGTTGCAAGTGGTGCTGGGCATGGTCAGAGGCTGGGGAGTTCAAGAGACTGGCCAAGAACCTGCTCCAGCCACTTGCCAAGGACAGTGGTGCCCTGAGTGGAACCTAGCCCTCAAGACCCTGGCCTGTGTTCTGTGCTTCTTTTGGCAACAGGGGGCAGGGGGCTTGGTTCTCTCTCTGTATGAGCTCAGGTTCTTCCAGCTCCCTCTGTTACTGCTGGAGGAGGAGAGGAGGACCACAGCCCACAGCTTGGCACCTGAAACCCTGTCCAGGTGGGTATGGGATTCATGATTTGTATGGGTTCAGAGAGGTGGCACAATGTGTGTGTGATAGTCACTGAACACACCAGGAGAGGCTATAATCAAATGCATTAATTTCCCTGTAGCACACCTGTGCCTTCTGGGGCCCGGTTTGGGCCAGGTTTTGTTGCCAAGTCTCAGCAAAACATCCAGGTTTGGGGGTGTTTAGGTCTGTGGCTCAGGGACTGTACTTCCCTACTAGCTCCCAGGGGCCTTTGCACTGCCTCTGGGCAGCTGCAGACACATTGCCTGTGTGTCCACTTACCCACCTCCCATTTAATGTGGTGACTTGTAGCTACCCTCAGTCACTGCACCCACCAGGCAACTTCCTTGTGCAGGCCCCACTGTGGGCGAGCCATGCGGGGCTCGTGTTCACGTCTGCACCGTGAGACATGCAGGTGCTGAGCAGAGCAGAGCAGGCATGACAAGCCCTGCATGGCTGCAGAGGGCCCAGGTCAGGCGGTGACCCTTCTATGTCTGGTCTTGGCAATGTTTTCATTTTGGACAACATGGTCAGGGGCCATCATCTCGAGGTCCTGGGGCCTCCACATGGCTCACCCTGCACATCATTTGTCCTCAGGGTCAACGGCCTCTGTCCACTGCTTTGAGGGGTCCAACAGGAGTTGGGATTTGTGGGGCTTGAGGAGGGAACCCCTAGGCCCAGGTTTTGTGCCACGTTTCCTCACCCAGGCAACCCCCAGGGTGGGTGCCCAGTCTAAGGAAGGAGGCCAGGCCAGCGCCCCCTTCCCCACACTGGGCCGGGATTCCTGCAAGGGCTCAGGCCGCCCCCTGCTGGATACGTGGAGAATGGAGATGTGCCCGCCAAGCTCCTCAGAAACCTGGTGGCAGTGGCAGCAGGACTGGGGGCAGGGCCGGGCAGGGCAGGGCTCCTGCAGCAGTCTCTAGGCTGCTCACAGTGCCCCCCACACCTGCCCCCTAGGCAGACAGGCCTGAGGACAGGAAGTTCCCAGCACTGGGGTTCAGTCTGCCCCAGGACTGAGGGGGCGCAGGGGCAGGGGTCTGGGGAGATGCAAGGCTACTGAGGTTAGTGGGATGGAGGCTGGAGCTCTGAGATGCACAGACCCTTCCTTCCCTTGGCACCCCCTGCCCCTGCATCATTCTCACTGTTGACTTTGTCCCTCCTGAAAATGACTCAGGGAACAAAGAAAGTCAGATGTGTCCACACTGAGGGGCTGGAGGGAATGGGGGGTTCCAGGACTCAGGGACCCCAGGATGTTCCCACAGCCCCACCAGATGGGACACAGGAACACTGGTGTGCTGGTGAGGGACACCAACATCCACCCAGAGCCACATGGGCAAAAGTTAAGGGCCTTCCTGGCCCCCATGGCCCTCTGCCCAAGGACAAAGGGACACCAAGGCCAGTCAACAGTGGCTGGGGCCATTTAGGCTGCACAGGGAAAGTCACACAGGTGTGGATTTTTAATTCTTTTTATTGAAGAAAAGAAAAGGAGAGAAAAAATAGATTCCCCCCACTTCTTCCTGGAGGGGGCTCAGTCCTGCCCCTGGGGGCCACATGGGTCAGAAGGCTGTGCTCTCCGCTGGGTCTGGGGGCCCAGGGCCCTGGAAGGTGTAGGGGCTGGCTGCTTCCCAAGGGGGTGGGGGTGTCTAAAAAACGGTGCCAGGCCGGCCAGGCCAAGCAGGCTGGTCCTCTGCAGCAGCAGCTCAGGCGGGTGCCCTGGAGACGCTGATAGAGCTGGGCCTGTCCACTGTGACCGCCCGCCTGCCCACCGGTGCTCAGCCCGAGGAGGGCAGAGTCTGAGGCACCTTTGGCCTCTGGAGCCCTGTGCCCCGGCCGGGCTATTGCCTCCTGTCCTCCATCTGGCTCTGGCCCCAGCACTGCGGGCCCTCTGCCTGGCCGCCGTCCGAGCGCCCTGAGGCCGGGGCGCGGGCCTGGCCCGCCGCCCACGAGTGTGTCTGTGCCCGTCCTGCGGCACAAGCGGGCAGAGCAGCATCCCTCCTCCGTGGCCCAGTGCGTGGCCGTCGCCCACCCGCTCAGACCTCGGTCTGGAGGTCAATGATGTCCTGGCCCACCAGCGGGATTGTGGCACCCGACTTTTCCCACTCCACACTCCGCAGCTCCAGTGGCGACGGTGGCAGTGGCTCCAGCTCCTTTTTCACCCACGTGGGTGTCCCATGGGCTTTCCGGAGACTCTCCCAGGGCCGCTTGTTGGGTGTCTGCTGTTTTTCTGGCTGCTGGGGAATCCGGGGGTGAGGGGAGACATAGATGGGGTGGGAGAGGAGGAGGCAGACAGGGAGCAGGACAGTAAGGAGGGGCCAAAGCAGGTGGGAGGATGGCAGTGCAGGTCCCGGAGCAAGCAGGCAGCAGCATGAGCCCATCTCCTCCCCAGGCTTTGCCAGGGTGGCAGCCTCTAGGACTGGGGCAGGATTGGGGGCTTGAAGGGAAGGGGAGCCTGGCAGCCCTGTCCAGACCCACAGCCTGGTGTAGCACCTCCTGCCCAGCCCTGGTGTGGCAATGGGCACTACCTGCCTTCCTGTTCTTCCACACCTGTGTGCCCCACCTTCCTAGCAGTTAGGGTCAGGCAGGTCCTCAGGAAGGGTGGGATGAATGAGTGAATGAATGAAGGACATGGGCAAAAGTGAGGGACATGGAGAGAAGGCAGATCGACCCAAGGCCCCCTGCCCCCCAGACCTTGGTGTCGGGGCTGGGCGTGTCCTTGTCCTTTTCCGCAGCGTGTTGCAGCTTCCGGTTCAAATCCTGGAACATGTCCTGGTGCCGCTTCCGCGTGTGCATGATCTTCTGCAGGTGGCCGGGGAGGGGGCAGAGTCCTGAGCCAGGAGGGGCACTAGCCCATCTGCCCCACCTCGGCCCCTGGGGACTTGGCCCTCCAGCCCTCTGCCTGCTAGAGTGGCCCCAGCCACCTGGCCATGAGGGGGCGGGTGTCAAAGCAAGGTGTGGCTCTATGTGTCAGGGGAGGGGACTTCAGGACCCACCTCAAAGTCCAGTTCTGCATACCGCGATTTCCGCCGCTGTGGGAAGAAAGGCTTTGTGAGCATTTGCAAAGCTTCCCTGAAATCTCCCAGGCCCCAAGTCCAGGCCTCTCCCAGAGTCCCCCTGACCCTCTGCCTGCCTTCAGGAGAGCCTGGGGATGTGCGTTTGGGGTGCCTGCCAAGTGCCTGGGCTCCAGTGCAGGCCCCTTCCCTGGAGGCACAGGGAATCCAGTCAGCGGGCTGGAGACAAAGTTGGGGGGCCTACTGGGGCAGCAGGGAAACAGAAGCTGAGGCGACAGTGACAGGCCAGCAGGTGGGCCTCTCAGGGCAGTGCCCCTCTTTCAGCTCAGTCTCAGGTCCTCCTGTAAGGAGGTAAGCTACAGATGCCCTCACCCTCCCCACCTTCAGTTCAAAGGGGCCTGCCAGCCCTACTTGAGGCAGCTCTCAGATACACATTGGGTGTCAGGGACCAGCACCAGGACTGGGCCAGGGTGTCCTGCTGGGTCTGCCCAGGATATGCTCCCCAGGGCCAAGGAGACCTGGATGCAGGGTCATGAGCTGGGACCACGACAGAGAACTTGGGAATGAGGGCCATATCACCAGAGGCTGAGAGCCAGGAAGCGGGAACATGTCCGGGGCTGGGGCGGGCAGGGGGTTTTGCCACCTTGTCTCTGAGCCCTCATCCTGTAGGCACAGCTTGGGGCTACTGAAGGCTTTAGCTCTTCAGTGCAGAGCTGTGGGGGCCTGGACACCCAGTGGGCTTGATTCACTCCCCATGCAGAGTACATTCCCTTGGGCCCTTCTGAAATGGGGTGAGACCACCCCTGCTGCACCTGGAGTGGTGACCAGGTGACAGGCAGCACATATGTGTAAGCTTCCGTCCTAAGGGCTGGAAGGCAGAGTGAGTGTGTTGAGTCCTGGGTTAGGCTTGGCCACCAGCCAGCGCTGCAAGCCCAAGGCAGCCCATCCCATCCCACACACACCTGTGCCCCAGGGGTGTTCCTGGCTGCCACGGCCCAAACCCACCGTGGCCCCACTGGCCCTGCCAGCTGGGGCCCACCTGCCTTCTCACCTCCAGGGAGCTCACGGACAAGGTGGAGACATTCTCGTTCTTGGTCCCGGCCCCCGTGCTGGGTCCTGCATGGGCCGCCGGCTCCCCGGCCTCTCCTAGGCTGGGGGGTGCGGGCTCCAGGGTGGGTGGTGGGGGCAAGGGCTGCTGGGGTGGCGGGGGTGGGGGTGGTGGGGGTGGTGGAGGCTGGGCGGGGGGCGGCTCACGGGAGGGTGGGCTACGGGCAGGCACACCAGCATCAGGCGCCGTGCTGAGGTGGATGAGGCGGGTCTGGGGCATCTGGTCAATATTGATACTGTACTTGGGCTCTTCCTTGGGCTTGGGCCGCAGTGTGGCCGTGGCTGTAGGCAGGATCACGTAGCTCGTGTCCAGAGCCTTCTCCTGGGCCCGGCTCAGCTCTGAGTCCAGCTTCTTAAAGATGTCCCCATCACCAACAAAGGTGGACTTGGGTGCCTTGTCCTTCTTGAGGGTCAGCGAGTGGTTGGGGAAGTCGGGGAGGGGTCCGCCAGGGTAGCGAGGTGAGCCGTGCAAGTGCAGCTTGGACACATTGGCAGGCAGGCTGTTGAAGTTGGTGGGCGGCCCCTTGCTGTGGGCTGGCTTCAGCTTCTCCTCCTCTGGCAGTGATGGCCGCTTCAGCGTGCCGGTTATGGTGGCAGTACGGCAGGCCGCAATGTCCTTGTTCAGCACTGTAGGGCCATAGGGGAGAAAACAAGGACAGGCAAAGTGGTCAGGGCAGCACAGGACGGTCCCCAGCAGGAGAGGGCCCAGTTGGCTGCCACTGCCTTCTGAGAGCCCCACTGCATGCAGCTGGGTCCCGCCCTGCTGGCTGGCCTCCGGCATGTGTCACCCCTCATGCTGATGCTGTGGCAGCTGGGGTTCCTTTGCCTTTTCAAATGGGGCTGCCACACAGATGCCCTTCTCAGCAGGTTACCCAAGAGGAAAAGTGGTTACCACCACACACTGACCTCCCCAGCAGCAAAGGGCTGCCCCAGACGCTAAGGACATGGCTCCTTCTCACAGCCAGAATGGCCTGGCCCCCAAGGCCCAGGACCCTGGCCCCAGCTCTGAGTCAGCTGGGGGTGGGGAAGCCTGGACTGAGACCAACAGCTGCCTAGGCAGCTATGCAGCCAGCCAGTCTTCCTGGGGCCCTGGACCTTCTGTCACAGATCCTCTTGTGGTGACCACACCTCACAGGCTGTAAACCTTCCTCTGGTTCTTGACCTCTGTTCTGACAGCCACCTGGTCCCAGGAGGCGAATGTCACCCACCCAGCTGTCTCTCTCCTAGTGGCTATGCAGGGCACAGGCTGCCCTGACCTGTAACCCGGGCTCCAGCTTGCCCCATACCCCACCTGCCAATCGAGTCAGCTTCCATTGGCCAGTGGGGAGAGCCCAAGTTGCCATCCCCGCCCAATGGGCATCCACCCTCCACACCTGCTCCTCTGGAGGTCCCACTCCCCAAAGATCCAGACTTGGGGCTCTTCCTTAAGAAGTCTGCCCTGCCCTTGTCCCCTCTGTCCCATGCTAACTGGTGAACAGGCTCCCATGCCACACTGGGCTGGACCCTGGCCCCCAGTGCCACTCACTCTCCTGGCCATGCCCTTCTCTGGTCCCCTCAGAGCTCCCCAGCCTACCAATCTGGGTCCTTTCCTCTACCTTCTGGAGGGCAACACTGTCTGCCTTTCACCCACCCCTCCACACTCCTCTGGCATGGCCCGCCAGTGGACTGCCACCTTCTCCACCAGAGCTGTTCAGCTCAGCACCTCAAGAACCACCTGTCTCGAGGGCCACCCCACAGCCCACCAGCACTGGGCCCTTCCTTCTGTACCACCTGTGCTTTGCTTGCCAAGGCAGAGCAGTACCCAGTGCAGCATATGGCTGTGTTTGCCTCCCCTGCACACACCCGGCTGGCTGATGGGCAAGATCCGGTCTCCTTCCAGGCCCCAGGCCCCTCCCTGGGGTGTCTGGGCCCCCGTACCTGCCGAGAGCAAGGTCTCCCCAGGGCATGCTCAGCACTGCCGGGTGGCCCCCACCTGCAGCAGTGGCTACTCACCACACACCCACATGCAACCCAGTTGCATGGGTGTCTCACTGAGATGGAGCCAGGGGCAAGGAGAGGCCAGTGCTCACCCAAGCAGGCTGGGCCATACCACCTGATGCCCCCAAATCTTGAGGTCACCTCTTAGGGAGTTTAGGGCTGGATCACTCTCCATCCATGCCGTCTCAAACCAGCCACCACAATCACTTCTAGAAAAGTGCTCCTCCAAGCATCTGACCATCTGAGGGAGCACGGTCACTTGACCACTCCACACCCCAGAAAGGTGCCACTGTACCACCAGCCCTTTCCCAGAGCAGAGCCAGGGAAAGAAACACTCACTGCTGCCTGGTACCTAGAGGTTGGGGAGAGGCCTCCCTCCTTCCTGGAAGCCTAGCACTGGCCTGGGGCTCAGTGCCTGGCCCTCCCCCTTACTTCCTCCTGCTGTCATTGACATCCCCCAGTCTGAAAGCTCCATCTGCTTCTGCCTGTGCTCAGACAACTATGACATGAAGGCAACACAGATGGGAGGCAGGGGGAGATGGGGGGCAGAGGAGGGCGGCCCCAGGTCTTGCTCAGCCTTGTGGCCCCATAAGGGAGATGCAGGGTTAACAAAGGGGCTGTGGGATGCTGAGGACAGGGCTGTGCTCTTGTCTGGGGGTCATTGTGGAGGGGGAGAAGGTGCTGGGTCCAGCATGAGAGACATTTAAGATCTCTACCGGCACCTGCTGACCACAGGTTCCAGGACAGAGTTCTGGAAGCTTCTTCTCATGCCCCACAGACCATCCTTGCTGCCTCTGGGGAGTGGCTAGGGGTAGAGCATGAAGGCCGAGATCACTGCCATGTGGGCCTGAGTCTCCCTGCTCTGACCAGGGCCACTAGGGAAGGCTGGGGGAGGGAGTCGTGGATGAGATGGACAACACACAGACATGCTTGGGGTGAAGAGAAAGAAGCAGGTGGACTGGGCTGGCCACCTGTCGCTCTCACCTGTCAGGCGCTCACCTGATCTACAGGCCAGATCCACGTCCTTCTCGAAGTCAGTCTGCAAGACAGGGACAGCAGAGTGGGTAAGCCACAGCCCAGGATGGGTGGGGCTGCTGCTGGCAAGGTGCTGGGAAAGGCAGGGCTGTACACATGTGCAGGCTTGTGAGGGTGCGGGAGTTCAGACCCTCAGGGGTGCCTGTGTGCTGACATGTTGTCACAAAGAACCCTGTCTGCTGGCCCACAGGAGTGTGCCTCTGAATGCTCTGGCCTGTGTATGTGTGATTTTGTGTTTATGAGTGTGTGCGTGTGTGTTTGTGTGTGTATAAGCGCTGGGTATGAGTGTATCTGTGAGTGCATTATGTGCATGTGTGCGTCTGTGCATATAAGTGTGCACATGTGTGCGTATGAGTGTGCATATGTGTGTATAATTGGTGTGTATGTCTGTGAGTACCTTGTGCGCATGTGTGCATGTCTATGTGTATAATTGTGCACATGTGCAGGTCAGTACCGATGAGTGTGCCTGTCTAAGTTCTGTGTATGTCTGTGAGTGCCCTGTGCACACATGTGCGTGTCTGTGCATGTGTGCATGTACAGTGTGCATGTGTGTATAGTGTGCATGTCTGTGCATGTGAGTGTGTACCGTGCGTGTCTGTAAGCATGCACGTGTGCTTGAGTGTGCATGTGTACATGTCTGTGTGTATGAGTGTACACGTGTGTGGGGCACACAGTATTCTCTCTCCAAGGCATCGTGCAACAGCTGGCCTCTAACCCCTTGGGCTCAGTCTCTCAGAGTGGTCCTTGGCCTGTCGTACCAGAACTCTCTGTCCCCACACCCCACCAAGGGAGCCCTGCACCAGGGCCACTTGCTGCCACAGGCCTGGGGAGAGGTGGGGCCAGGCTCAGCCACCCCTCCACCACCTCAGTGGTGTGGTCCCTACTAAAGCTCCTGCAGAGGCATGAGTGTGTGACCCAAGCCCTACCCTCAGGGAGCTTGGCACCCATCTAAGCCTGGTTGTCCTTCTCCAAGGGCCACAGGGCTACAGGGAACAGACTGGCCCTTCATCTCACACCTGATTGGCTTGAGATGACAAAGTATTCACCTGATGTCAGAAGTCAGACCAGAAGAAATGTCAGTGGAACGGAAATTGTCCCCCAAGAGGACAAGTATGTATTGGGACCCATGAGACCTGGTGGTTTCTGGATGGAGACACTGAGGCTAGGGGTGCACTTGAACATGATGACCTGGGCCTTGCCCACTGGGGCTGGATGCTGACACCTGCTGTGGCCCTGCCTGTGACCCTCACAACCACCATGAGGAGGCCAGGCAGCTTGAAGACCCAGGGAACACCTGCGGCATGCCAGGTTCACTCTGTGCCAATGGGCAGCAGACTCCAAATGCTAACGAGAGGAGTTCCTCAGGTTGTGACCAGGGCCTGTGACACTGGATGGGTCTGACATCAGGGAGGTCTCCCTGGAGGAGGTGAGCCAGAGGACATGCCCTGAAAAGGGCAAGAAGCCGGTCCAGCACACAGAGCTGCAGGGCCTGGTCCCAGACAAGGCCAGGGCAAGTGGCTGCTGGGACCTTGGGGCCTGCGGGCCTGTGGAAAGGCATCTAGTCCCACCTTCCATGCTGCAGAGCAGAGGCAGAAGGACCAGTATGGGGGGCAGGTCTGGCGATGGAGGCAGGAGGAAGAGCCCTGTATATAGGACTACAAGGAGAAAGGTACTGAGATGGGGATGTTGTGGGCTTGAGGGGCCATAGGGAGTGTCCAAGGGCCTTCACATGCAGGAGCCTGGCACCTGGGGGCCCTGGGTTGCTGTTCTGGAGGTGGGCCTGAGGGAGGTCCTGGTGGGGGTGGGCTTGAGGAGGGCAGGGCCACACTCCCAACTCAGGGGAGGGGCCCTCAGGAGGGCCTAGGAGGAGGCAGTTGTCGGGTATAGGACAGTAGAGGCAGCAGGTGGGGGGTTCCTTGGGGGTTGAAAGGCAGCCCCAGGTGAAAGCTAAGTGAGGCATGATCCTTTCCTGGGGTGAGATTGAGAGTGGTGAGGGTGAGCAGAGGAGGTGTCAGGAGCAGGAGGGCAGGTGACAAGCAGAGGGTGGTGTCTAAACAAAAGGTGCCAGGGCCTGGGCATAGGGTGTCCTGAGTGGAAGCTGGGAGAGGAAGAAGGCAGTTGTGCTGCCAGGAATACATCTGCCCATCTCGGCTCCGGCGCCCTGTCCCTTCTCAGCACTGTTCTTCCTGCTGCTATGGGGGGCTCAGCATATGCAGCCCACCCCTCACCAGGCTGACAGGGATGAAAGGAGCATGGCGAGTCAAGAAGAAGGTGCCAGGGCCTGGGCATAGGGTGGGTGCCAGCCTCCGCTTAACTCCTCATCAACTCAGCCCTCCTCAGGTGGAAAGCCTGGGCCAGTGATTTCACCTTGGCAGGCTTCAGTTTCCCCAACTACAAATTGGACTGAGAGGTCCTCGTAATGGGGCTGCTGGGGCCGGGTTCTGAGTCCTACCATGAGCTGGGCATGGCCATTCTGGAAGGAGCCCCCGGAGTCCCCGTTGCCCTCCTCCTGCCGATCGACCACACGGCATTTCACAGCATCTTGGACCTGGGGAGGAGAGCTGAGCGCATGAGCAGGCAGCAAAGGCACGGCAGCTCTGCCAGGAGCAGCATCTGCGTGGCAGGTGTCCCTGGCTGCGGCTCCCTGTGCAGGGCTGCCACTTGTCTGCAGGGTCACAACCTGTCTGGTGGAGAAGCGACATAGCAGAGCCTGGCCCTACTTTCCTCTGAGGCTCTCAGGCCTCTGTAGCACGATTCAATGCTCTCCTGAGCACACTACAGGCCCTCTTGGCCAGAGTCTGCCAGCAACAACTTGCCATCTGTCTGAAGGGGGTCCAGGCCTGTTCTGAGTCACCAAATGAGTTGCTGACTGCCCTGGGCCCTCTCTGCTGAGGTGAACCCATCAGGGGTGTGAGGACTGTGCTGGGGGATGGCCAGGCCCACCCCTTCACTCTGACGTATCACTAAGAACAGCGTGCCCCACCAGTGATGGGAGTGGCCCCGGCCCCGTGGGGGTAGCAGGGGACAACCCCAGCAGGCAGCCAGCACAGAGCTCATCAATAGAGACACTGCCTGCTATGCAAATGTCATCTGATCAGGGCACAGGAGGGAATGGGTGCTCCCTGTCCACCAGGGAGAGCTCCCACCTTCCTGAGCAGATGCTCCAGGGGCAACAGTATGCAAAAGGAACTGTGTGGAGCTGTGAGCACAGAGGGCTCCCTGGAGGAGGTGTCCTGAGTGGAAGCTGGGAGAGGAAGAAGGCAGTAGTGCTGCCACAAATACATCCGCCCACCCCGGCCCTGGGGCCCTGTCCCTTCTCAGCACTGTTCTTCCTGCTGCTATGGAGGGCTCAGCATATGCAGCCCACCCCTCACCAGGCTGATAGGGATGGAAGGAGCATGGTGAGTCAAGCTCACGCCAGGACACACCATCCTCTAGCTTCTTCCTTGGGGAGCTGCCCACAGACATTTGCTGAGCACCTGCTGTGTGCCCAACCATAACCCAGGACAGGGAGATCTAAAGAGCTGGAACTCCCAGAGTTCCTCTTGGACTCTCCAGGAATGTCACCTGGCCAGCGTCAGCCCTGAGACCCAGGCTCTACTGCACAGATGAGGGACTTACCTGGATGAATGTCCCTGGCCCACAGGGCCAGCAGTACAGCCCAGCATGGCCCCTGCCTGGCCCATCTCCCTCATATATCTCCTAGCAGCCTCCCAAGGATGCAGACCTGGGCAGAGCTTGAGGCCTCACCAGCTGGCCTCTCCCTCCCTCCCTCCCTCGGTGACTCTGTCACATGGAGCCCCTGCAAGGAGCTGGGAATTCAGAGACTGCCAGAAAAGTCTGGGGGCATGGTGTCCCCTTTGCTCCCACCCCCCATTCTGAAGTTTCCCAGCAAGGAGTCCACATGTAGGTCTAAAAACCACAGGGCCAGCGCTCTGCCCCCTTTCCGCAGGGAACCCCCTTTCCACGGGGAGCCTCCTCTTCACTGCCGCCTCTGCTGTTCCATCAGACCCCTTCCAGTTCACCCTCAGGGTTGCCTTAGAAATCTCCTCACCAACTCCTGTCTTTCTCATGCTATGGGAGATCACCCCTATCTCATCCTCTAATAAGCAGCTGCTGATTTCACGGTTTTAACTTCTAGAAGCTCTTTTTGTTCTCGGAATGCTCCTTTTATGTAGGCTGGTATTCTTGTTTCACAAAAGCCAGGCAACCACGGGCCAAGAGCGTGACTTGGGAGCCAGTCCCCTATAGTGGCAAGCTCTGTACGGGGCTCATCAGTCCTGTTGCGGGCTGTGAGAAGGCAGTGCCTGCTTTGGGGGGCTGCTGTGAGACTGACAGGAGGAAATGGCCAGGACCTCAAGTTGTTCTCAGAGGATGTGAAGGAGGGGTCTGTGAAGCTTCTCCATGAGTTGCCTCTGTCCCCACATTCCATTTCCTATTTGTTTGGTTTCATAGACAAAAAGTCTGTATGTCTTTATCTCTGCCGTTTCTGAGAGTGAGCAGGTACAGAACTTGCCTGGCAAAATTCAGGGGGAAACTGAGGCAGAACTCTCATAAACCCTTTAACTTGACACAAAGGAAACAAAATTCCTGGGCTCAGAGTCCGGTGGAGAGGCTGGTGCGTCCAGCGCCAACACCGGCTATTTAAGCTGGAAAGAAATAAAGATTTTTGCTATCTGCCACAGAGTGGTAGTCTCCTTTATGCCATACAATCTCAATGCAGTCCACACCTGCATCACCGGCCACTCATAAGAAACATTCATGCAACAGTCTATGGCTCTGCTGGAAGCTCGCCGTTCATCCTGGATCATGGCCCAGCTGGACATTTGAAGGTGCTGGACATTGGGAACTCCCATCTTCCTCCTCCTGTTTCTCCTGTGGCAGTCTACAGCCAGGCTGTGTAGGCTGGCCAAGTTCACGCCCTCAATTTGCTTACCAGCCTCCCAGCTCTGCTGCTGCCACCACCTTTCTTTCTCTTGGTCCTTCCAAATCTGTGTGCTTTTAGAGGCCCTTTGCCCTCTTCCGAGGGAGTAGCCCACCCTACTTGTGGGCCTTTACCGGCGTCCTGACCCTAATCTAGAGGCAGGTGTCTTAGTCATGGGTGTCAGCGTGTACTCCCACACTTCCACCTCTGGGAAGGAGCACTGCGTCCTGCAGTGAAGTCTGACACTTCATCCTCGTCACTGCCAACAGCCTCGATGTAGTCAGGATGCAGTTTGGCAAAAACCTTTTATAAAACTTTCCAGAAAGGTCTAGAAAAATGCTAGAAGCAAGAGTCTCAGCCGCCCTGAAAGCTGTTTTCTCTCTGCTGGTTCCCACATTCCTATAGGCTCTGCCTGCTGCTGTTACCCCATCCACCCCAGGCAGCTCTGGGTGGCAGGGCATCCTCAGGAAGAAGTAGGCATGACAGTGAGCGAAGCCCCTGGCACGCCTGGCCGCACCCTGCTTGAAGTTACTGTGTAAGTCTGTAGCCTGTGGGGCCGCTGCAGCCCACAGCAGCGTCAGGCCCTCCCCAGAGTCCCCCCACGAGGGCACTGGGGAAGGACCACCAGCCACTCACAGCCATGTGGACACTGGGGGCACACATGGGGCAGGGGGGAGCAAAGGACGCACCTCCCTGCGCAGGACGCAGTGCACCATCACGATGACGAAGCCCTCCAGGGAGTCAAACACGGCGAAGAGGATCTGGAAGAGGGCGGAGCGGCGGTCGGTGACAGCGAGCACAGCCGACATCCAGGTCAGCGCCAGCAGCGGCAGCACCACGCAGGAGCTCCACAGGGAGGCCCTGGGGATGGAGGGCGTCAGCGCTGCCCCGCCCTGTGCCCATGTCAGGCAAGGGGACACCCCACCCCAAAGCTGAGCCCACCTTTGCCATGGGGGGTTGGCACCAGGCCCCTTGTCTTCTCCGGGGTCCATCTCCCTCAAGGCCCCCTAGTCTCTAGGCTGTGACCTACACTTCTCCTCCCCAGGGCTCCCTACCAGTCCTTCCCCACACCCTGCCCTCCCCTCTCCTAAGACTGTTCCCCACACTGGGGAGGAGCCCTCAGTCAACACTGAGGTCCCAGCACCTTCCTCAGAAGCCGGAGGGCTCCTATGGGAGATCTGGGGGCCTAAGGGAGGGTCTAGGCGGGGTGGAGTAGGGTTTTGGGGAGAGGCCTGGGCTCCTGACCATCTAGGGGGAGGGGTGGGGAGGCAGCTGGAGGGGCCGGCAGAGCGGCAGGCCTCAGTTAGCCCAGGCAAGGGGTGGAGGGCAGAGCCCCAGAGCTCAGAGACCGGGAGAGGGAAGCTGCAAAGAGACAAGACAGAGGACAGAGGATGAACGAGGCCAGGCAAGGGTCAGAGGAGACGGAGACAGACAGTGACAGACAGACTGGCAGGCATTTCCTCCTCCTGGGCCTGCTCTGCCCACCCCTCCTGAGCCCTGATGGCCCCTGCAAGGCTGCCCCTCAGCACGGCACCCTCCCCAGGAGCCCCCTAGCAGGCCCTGCAGGGAGACACTGGCCCGGTCCCTGCGCACTCTGGCTTAGCTCCAAGTGTGGCCTGAGCAGCTCCCCTGTCCTCACAGTGAGGACAATGAGGCCTCCAGGGACTATGGACAGAGGCACCAGCAGGTGCTTAGGAACATACCCTGACCTCATCCCTGTCACTGTCATGGCACTGGGAACCACCCATCAGGCTCCCCAGGCCTGTCTGCAGGGACCCTAAGGGCCACGACACTTTGCACAACACCGGGAAGGGCTGGCATCAGGCTCCCCTACCATTCCCCTAAGGAGCAGGCAGGGCTGGGACTGGACACAGGGGCTGGGAGAGGTGAGCAGACCATGGCCCTAGGTCGCAAGTCCCCCATCACCTACTGGGCTCCACCACCTACCCAGGCTCCGACGTGTGTAGGCCCAGGGCTGAAATGCAGCCACTGACCCACAGGAATGCCTGGGCTTGAGCTCCTGGTCCTGCCCCAGCCAGCACCTCCAGGCTCCAGGGGACCTCCCCTGGCTGCCTATCCTCTTGTCCAGGCCAAAGCCAGGCGCTGCCCTGAAGCCCCTGCCTAGATTCTGGGCACAGGCTCTAGGCACCTCACAGTCTGCCCCTCACCGCCAGACAGCTATGGGTACTCCTGGAGGCCCCCCAGCCCCGGCAGGTCCTCCTTTCAGGGAAGCCCTGCCCTAGCACAAGGCCCTGCCCTGGCGAGGCTGCTCTGTTGGGCTGTAGTGGCCAGCAGGGCCTGGTCTGTCTGCTCTCTGTAGTGCCCCTGCAGCTGCCAAGGAGCCCCTAAGTAGACATTCAAGTACCAATGGAGGACCCAGGGACTCCAATCAGGGCCCGTGGCTCTGGGCCCTGTGGTGGTGGGACTGGCCTGTTCCTCTCCTCCCCTACGGAGCAGGCAGTTTTGTGATCCTCCCATACCCACAGCCACCTCAGCCTCCACGAGACGTTTTCCCGCTGCCTCTCATGTTACAGCCAGTCCTGTGGCTGGCAGGTGGCCAGGCCTGGGGACCCGCACAGCACTCCTGCCCTGACCTGCAGCCCCACAAAGGCGTCTGCAGAGGCTGTTGTGAAGGAGCCTGGGAGGTTATGAAGGAGCCTGGGAGGGTCCAGCAGCTGTTAAGAGAACTCCTAGCTCAGAGGTGAGTGGGGATCACTGTGTCTGACTTGCTGCCTGACCTTCCTGGCGAGGAGCAGTCAGAACCCCAAGGCCCCTTATTCCCCTATCCACAATGACTTGCTGATGCGAAGAAAGGGCAATGCCAGCACCAGAGAACTGGGTCCTCTTGTGGGGGGGACAGTGTGGATCCCAGGCACAGGGGTCAGTCCCCTCCCCGCTCAGCCTCCAGCCTCACCCACCCAGGCTGGTGCCCCCAACCCTGCTCCTGCAGTGGCGCACACAGTCCCACAGATGAGAAGCCCAAACGCTGGGGCCAGCTCCCCGCACTGTGCCCTCCCTGCCGCACCAGTACGCCTGTACCAGCTGTCCCTGCTCCCTGGGCCGGGGCTACACTCCTGCACACACTACCCCCTGCACGCTCCATGGTGCTCATGCATGTTCACTTGCCACACTCAATCACACACGTGCATATACTGACCCATATCCAGTCACACACACACATATATTAATACCCAAGTATGGACCTGCTGCAATCACACATATCACATGATTCACAGGTGGGAGATGACCACTGGGCAGGCCCAGTCCCCTTGCCCTGACAGAGAGATGCGGGGGCCCTGGGCCCAGGTGCCTGTGGTGCCAGCTTTGCACAGGCAGTCGGGTGCTGCAGTGGCCAGAAGATGCCTCTGGAACCAACACAATGCACATGGCCCAGCCCCACACCCAGCCCTCCCCAGCTGCCACCCGCCTGCCACAGCCACATCTGCCTGACGCTTATCCTGGGGCAGCCAGGCCCTACAGCCGCTTTGCCAGGAGGATGTAAGGGAGCCTGGGGGAGCAGAGGAGGAAAGGGAGGCCCAGAGTAGACGGTAGAAAAGAAAGAAAGGAAAGGAAAACATAAAATGAGCAAAATGTGACTTAGAAGAGAATAGAGCCCTGCGGGCAGGGCCGAGGCCAGGAGGCACTAACATGGCGTTACTGGTGGCGTCGGAGGTGGCATCGGCGGCAGAGAGGACTCCACACTCGGCACATTTGAGGGCACGCCCGAGGGGGGGCTGGGGCAGCTGACTGCAAGTGAAATTACAAGGCTGAAACAAAAGCAAGCCCGCTGTTCTCGCGGAAACCAAGGGCAAAAGAAAAGAGCAAAGTCAGCCACTTGGGAGGCCAGCCTGGAGCCCCACAATTTGGCTGATGGCCCCGGGGGCTCTTGTCCACCTAAGGAACCCAAGCCTGGGGCTGCAGGCTGCACAGGGCCAGGCGTGTGGGAAGGCAATGCATTGTCCACGCACCATTCTCAGCTGAAGGTGGGCGAACTCTGCCTCCGGTCTGCACAAAGCAGTATATACCACCTTCCCCCAACTTCCTGTGTACCTAGCAAGGAGCTGGACTGTGGCTTCCCTCAGGTCCTCGTGGGTGTGGGCGTGCCTGTGCGCATGAGTGTATGTGCATGCACGTGTGCAGACCAGTGTGCTGGGTGCCTCCCTTCTACGTGGGTGTGTTTCTGGATATGCGTGCCCATCACTGGGCTGGCACTGAGGAGGGCAGGCAGCACACAAGACCTTCACGGCTGGGCTCTAGCACCTGCCTAACATAGCTTGAGTCCCGACTCCACCAGACTCATCCCCTGAAACCCCAGTTTAATGTCAGGTGGGACTGTAATAGAACCTGCCTTGATGTTTACTCTAAGAAGTAAAGATGATCAGCCCTCGGTGGGCTAGAGGGGCCCCTGCTGCCTTTGTGGTGAGACAATCTGTGGTGTTCATACACCAGGGTGGCCCTGTCTCAGGAGCACGTGCAGGACAGCATGCTTGGGGGCTGGGTGGGCGATAGGGAAGGTTGCTCTAGTCTCCACTCACAACCAGGCTCTCAGCCCCCAAGGATACCCCACCAGCTCAGCTGCTTTCTGCCCAGAACTGAAGCCCACCAGGTACCCAAGGGAAAGCTTCCCGAAGCTTTTGTCCACTGAGGAGGTGAAGAGGAGCCAGGAAAAGAGAGACAGAGACAGAGACCAAGCAACTGAGCAGGACGGGCACAGAGGGGAGGCAAAGACCTCACACAGACACCAGCCAGGCAGGAGGACACAGAGAGAGGAGAGGACAGACAGGGGCCCCGAGGGCAGCAGGACACACATGGCTCCTCTGCCTGTGGTCAGGCCCATGCTGTGCAGCCCCTCTTCTGTGACCAGGGCTTTGTCCCTGAAAGACCGAGCAGCAGTCCCACCCCAAGCACCACCCTCGCCTTCACCTGGGCCCTGCCATCTGCAGGGCAGTGTGCCCCATGGGCTCTGGTCCTCCCAGCCTCACCTGTCCCTGAACTGTACTCCCTTAATGTAGGCCCCACTGGGACCCTGAGCCACCTGCACAGGCAGGTGTCACACAGCAAACCTCGCAGAGAGGGAGGGGGAGGCCTGGGAGCCAAGTACCCAGCCTAGGGCTTCCTAAACAATCAGATTTACTGTTCCTGAGAACCTTACAGGGCCCCACCGTGTCTTAGGTCAGATGGAGAAACTGAGGCACAGAGCGAGGCCAGGGCTGGCTATAAGCCTGAGCAGGTCTCTATTTTCTGTGCCTCAGTTTCCCCACTTTCCCGGGGATCCCTGGCCCTGCACTCTTGGTCTGGGCAATGGAGCAGCCCCCATCACCGGGGGCTTGAGTTGGTGGGCTCTGGGTCTCCTCAGCTCCATGCAGGTGAAGCTTGGGCCCGGGCCCTACCCTGCCCGCTCCTTCAGCTTCTTGTCCGTGATGCCGTCTTTGGACACCAGCCTGTTGAACACCAGGATCCCGATCACCATGTTCACCTGCCGGGCAGAGAGAGGTGGGGTTGGGGCAGCACTGCCCACATGTGCAGGGCCAACTGCAGCCACACCACTGGCGGCCCCCATCCCTCCAAGGGTCACCTCCAGTGCCTCTGTCATGTAGACCCCAGTCAGACAAAGGCCCTCTGGTGACTATTCTAGTTGCCACCCATGTGCCACCCACACCGTCAGCATCTCTGCTCTGCCCTCAGTCCCTCGAGCCCCAGGAGCTCAGCAGACCAGCCCAGGATGCCTCATGGTGGTTTGGACACACTTCCCCTGTGCTCTGCCCTGAGCAGCACACCCCTCCCTCCAGACAGAAGTCTTTACCTCCCTACCATTCCCATTATGCCAGCTACACTGCCCCAGCTGGGCTCCTGCACCCTGGAAGGCTCTTCTTGTTGTCTAAGTCTCCCTCCCGTGCTGCTGCCCCAGCTACCATCCAAGGCAAGAGCTGCCCACCAGGGCCCTGTAAGTGGCTCCACAGCTCTGGGTCCCTGGATCAGGGATCCACTCCCTGACTCCCAGAAGGAACGGCTTTGCGGCCATAGAGCTCCCCAAGCTTGTGATTCCACATGCAGGGTCCTGCGGCCCACTGTTCCTGCAGGGGAGTTCCCAGACTCCAACACTAGAAGCTCAGCTGGCCCAACAGCGCTGTCTTTCCTCATCAGCCTCATCTTCTGCCATGGCCGGGCAGGCAATGTGTCCTGTCTATGCTGCCTGCAGCAGGCCCTGCTTGGGCCTGGGAGGGGACATGCAGGGCTGGGGCCTCCTGCCTCAAGCTGTCCTCCTTCCTAGGTCCCAGGCCCCTAGAGACACTGATGGGTACCCTTGACTCTCATGCCTCCACCCTGGGTGCCTTCGAAAAATGAGGGAGCTGCGAAATAGTGGCCAGGCATGTAGCCCCACTGTCTACAGCTCCCAAGACTTCCCCAACTTGTCCCCTGCATGGTCAGCCCCCATCTTCTGCTGCATCCAGCCTATAACCCAGCCCCCCACTAGGAGTGGCGCAGCCCTGTGGAGCTGCTATAGCAGCAGGACTCTGTGGATACAGACGCCCTCTCCTGGGCGCAGAGGGGAAGGGCAGGTAGACTCAAGGCTCTAGCAATGGTTGCTAGCCTTCCTAATGCCTCAACCCTTTCACACAGTTCCTGTGGGTCACGACCCACAGGTTGAGAACCACTGCGAGTCAGGACGCTTCACCACAGGGGGACAGAGGCTGGCTGGCTCAGCCTGTCTCATGGATGGACATAGCAGAGCCAGTGAGCTCAGGCAAGTGCCACTAGCTCATCTGTGATCTGGGAACAACAGCCCTGTGTGCACCTGTCACAGCCTTGCATTCCTCACCACACAGATGTGTGAAACCAGTGGAAGAAAAGTCCAAGGCCCAAGAACGAAAAGTTGTCACTGGCACCCCTGTGACAGTAAGCAGCAGGGCTCAGGGGTCGCTCATGGCCCCGCCTGCACACTTCCTTCAACTGTCAGTCTACCTGACCCACCCCCTCCCTCTCCCTCTACTCACCAAAGACACACTATCTCCCAGCAGGTGGCAGCTGGTGCTTACTTATCAGGTGAGCTCGGGCTCACAGGTAGAGGAGGAGCAGCCCAGCCCAGCCCCTGCAACTCCAACGCCCTGAGGGCAGGTAGGAGCAGGGCTGGAGCCACCCAGCCCTTGGCAATCAGGGCAACCCTGAAAGGGTAGGAGGTCCATGCCCCAAAACCAGCCCAGGGGCAGGTGAGAGCATCAGTGATCCCAAGAGGTGAGAGACCCAGCCTGGGACAGTGGGGAGAGGGCCCAGCAGGTCAGTACCAGCACAACAGCAGCCGCTGGTCCCACGAAGGCGTAGAGCAGTCCCCCCTCCAGGGAGAGCCAGCAGCTGTGGGGGAGATAGGCCATCAGTGCCACCCCCACATGGAAAGGGCACTGCCAGCAGCTGTGGGGGAGACAGGTCATCAGTGCCACCCCCACATGGAGAGGGCACTGCCAGCAGCTGTGGGGGAGACAGGCCATCAGTGCCACCCCCACATGGAGAGGGCAATGCCAGCTTCTCAGGAGGGAAGGAGATAAGCTGGGATGCAGTGAAGGAAGCCAGCACATGTTAAGCACCTCCTGTATGCAGGGCACTTCCAACTCATTCTACAGCTTTAGAACCCTCAGGAGCACCCAGCCATCACAACCCCCATCCTATAGATGGGGACAGATGCAGAGCAGAGTATACACCCGCTTAGAGCCACACGGCAAAAGGCTCAGACTGGCAAGATGAATGTGGCCAGGCTGTCCCTCCTTTCCCAGGCTCCTCCTGGGGCCCATGGCAGACCCTCCTCCCTGACATGATGCCAGATACTGGGCTGGTTCCCCAGTCCCCTCACCATGGGACGGACCTGTGGTCTCATCAGCCTAGCCCTTCCCCACATCCAGTCATCAGCCCCATGCTCCTTGCATCTCTGGACACCACCCTTGGTATCCACAGGAACCTCAAACCCAGTGCTCATCATCCCCTCTGCCCTGAACAGGTGACCCCATGCTATCTGGCAAACAAACTCCACTTCAATGTCCCTATCTCCTCCTGACTCACCCTGCCTCCACCAGGTGGGATGTCCCCTTCTCTCCTCTCCGAGGGCAGTGCTTAGATTTCCCTCCTGGTGTTCACCCTCTAGGGCCTCATCTGTGCCCACTCCCAGTACTTCCCAGACAGGCAGGTCCTCCAGGCCTTGTGCATGCTGACCCCTGGGGCCCCACTCAGCTGGCACAGTCACCTCCTCCTGCCTCTCACCCCACCTGTCCCCTCCCCATAGCCATGGCCCCTCCTGGCCTCAGTTCCCTGCTGCCCTCTCCTGGGCCTCCTGTCCAATCCTGCACCCCAGATCCTCTTTCCCCATGTTGGGAGCCCACCATGCCTCTAGGATGACCCTGAGTTTCCTGGCTTATCATGTAAGTCCCCCAGGACCTGGCCCAGCTGATCTTCAGGGCATTCGTAAATGAGCCCACTGTGGGGCTATATCCCTGTCCCCACAGCTTCACCATGCAGTCCTCCCTCTCACCACACTGTGCAGACATGGGCTCCCCACAGAGAAGATGGGGAGACTGCGGCTCAGAGGGGCTAATGGACTCATCCAAGGTCACCGAAAAAGGAGCTGGGAGGTTCTGATGACCTCAACCCCACTGCTCTCAATCCCACTGCCCACTGGCTGCTGCCAGGAGGGAGGGCTCAGCTGCTGGCTCCCAGCCCCATCCTCCCTGAGCCTCTATGGGTTGGTGCCTGGCCAGGGTGGCGGAAGGCTCTGGAGGACCGTGTGGGCATCCACTGCACCCCACTGTCCCAACTCACTAGTTCACGGTGCTGTACCCTTTGGCCTTGGTGAATCCCACGGAAATGGCCACGACCAGCGCAGGGAGCCCTGGAGGAGGACCAGAGAGAGGGTGTGGGGCCCCACTCAAGCCCTGGCACCCTCCACCTCTGCCCAGTTCTGCCTGTGGAAGGCAGGGAGGCAGAAAAATGCCACTGAAGCCCCTGAACAGAGTGAGGCTGAGCGTAAGAGGACAGGAGCTGGACAGAACGAGGACCACAGGGCCACAAGCTGAGCAGGGAACACACAGGACACCCACTACATCTGAACTTCATATGAACAGGGCATTGTTCATCAGCACAATAGATCCCAAATGATGCACAGGGCATGCTTGTACTAAGGAGGTATTTGTTACCTGATAGGACAGGGTGCCTGTGTTTTACCTGGGGACCCTATGCAGGGCCCAGAGGGAGAAGCCCACCCAGGGAGCAATGGAGGGACAGGGTGGCCAAGGGAGCAGAGGGGGCTGTAAGGGGCAAGAACAAGCGCCAGGGGAAGGTCATCAGGAGGCCTAGAGGGAGGCCCCACCCACCACTCACCCCAGCCGAGGCAGAGGAAGCGTTTTCGGATGAGACGTTTCCGGAGGCGGCCTGTCACGGCCATGTAGGACTGCCAGGCCTCGGTGAGCACCCAGCAGAAGGAGGACAGGAAGAAGAAGTGCAGGAAAGCAGCCACCAGCGTGCACACCACCTGGGCAGGCAGGCAAGCGAGAGGACATTGGGCAGACACCCCTGACCCCAGGCCTGCCCTGACGGGGCTGCAGCATCCACTACCCTTGCCACCACTAGCCAAATCCTCAGGCACAAAACAGCTTCCCTTGAGGGGCTGATGAACATCTAAGCCCCCTGCATGGTACTACCTCAACCCATTCACAAACTGCCAGGGACAGATAATCCTCCCTCTCTGCCTTCTCAGCACCCACTCAGACACACCAGTGTCAGGGGAGGCACCGACACCGAAGCCCCAGCTCGAACCCATCCTTTTAAGAAGTGCTATACCCAAGGCCCAGAGAGGGCATGTCACACCTCAAGGACACACAGCAAATCACAGAAAAGCTCACAGGGGCCATGAGCTTTGGCCACAGCACAGAAGCTGCTTACTCATGAAGGCCAGGCCTTCCCTCTGTCTCACTGAAAGCCCTCTTGCTTTATCTTGCTTGTGTCATTGTTAGGGTGACTCCTTGAAGAAGCAAAGGCTTCCACCTGAAGGCTGGGTCAGCTGTGATTAGCTGGACAGGTGTGGAGACCACAGGGTGGGGATTGGGAGTGGATGTAACTGGGGAAGGCAGTTAAGGGGCCCCACCAAGGACTGGCCAGCATAGTAGGAGAGGTAGGGAGAAGGGACTCAAGTCAGAGCTTAAGTCATATTAAGCTCCCAGAGAGCTGACACAGGGCTGTCACAGGCTGATTCCACTCCTAACAGTGGGTTGGGTGGGGACTTGAGCCCATCTCAAAGGGCCAGTCCAGCTAAGATGCTGGGACACAAACTACCCTCTCAGCCAGTTAACCAATCCCTGTTGGGTTGCTACAGAGAAGTAAGGACTCCACGTGGCTCGGGCAGCCTCTTTCTGCTCTCACACCCTCCTGCCTCAGCTCCCAAGGACTCCATGGTCCAGCCGCTGCTGGTTCCACCCTCACTGGATAGGGCACAAAGCTGCACTGTGGCAGGACAGAAAGCTGCCTACCTTGTTGCGGGTCTGGGTCTGCCCGATGAGGATGAGGGCATTGGAGGAGATGATGGACAGGCAGAAGTTGATGAGGATGACAGAGCGCTCTGAGCGGATGTACCTGTGGGAGAGGGCAGGGCCAGGGTCAGCATACAGCAAGGCTTCATCTTCACTGAGACTGTAATCCTGTGGCCACACCAACACCAGGGCCCCATTCCATCGCTACAGTTACCATCATCACCTTGCCACCATCATCATCACCACCATCATCACTGTCACCATCCTATCACCATTACATACCATCACCACCTCCACCACCATTCCTACCATCATCACCACCACCACCACCATTACTGCTACCACCACCACCACCACCACCATCATTACTACCACCATTACAACCATCATCACCACCATTCCTGCCACTGCCACCATTACCACCATCAGCACCACCACCACCATTCCTACCACTACCACCATTACCACCATCATCACCACCACCACCACTCCTATCACCGCCATCA